CACAAAAGAATCTCAGTAATATTTTCACGTCAAAAATATTTTCATAGTTTCAGTTATTTTTCTATTGTTAATTTAGTACTGAGAATGGTCCTCGGGACCCACTGTGGCGAAACCAGACGAGTTTTGGAAAAATGGATTTCAGATTCGTTTTCAGCGTGCTTGATAGTGTTGACCCACAAATTTTCAGCGAAATCTCAAACGGTTTTTGAAATGACCTCCCTTGTTAGTCACTTCCCCCTTTCTACTGTTGTCTGTATGTCTAGATGTCCGTTCACAGCTTTGGACTTTGAACTGGACCTAAACAAGCCTGGGCTGGAGGATTCAGTCCTAGCTCTCCTGCCAGCTACGTCCCAATAGGATCCTATACCCCCTGAACTCACTTCTTCAACCTCTTTGTCACTTCCTTGATATGATCCTTATCCACAGAAACTAAGTACGCATCGGTGACTAGTCGATTCGATTTTGTGCCTAAAAAACCTCTTTCAAATTTTTTTCCTAGCAAAATTCCAGACTTACAATTAAAAACCGACGCTTCGTTCTCCGCGGGTATCTCCAGAGCGCGACGCCGCACTTTTAGTTGGATGATTTTTCGACGAATGCACTAAAAAGCTTAAGTTTTGAAGGAAGATTTGGCCCTGCTAAACTGTACCTCTTGAATGTATGTGGTGACCTCTTCATAGCTCTTGCCATCAATATGCATATCATTAACCCCGACAATCTCATCGCCGATACTGAGGCCGGCACGCTCGGCGGCGGTACCTGTAAAAGGGGGAATAGGTTGGAAAGGTTGGTTATTAGGCGGGACTAAAGATGCGGGGTTGCAAGCAAGAATAAGGTGGGAAAAGTTTGATGGGCAAGTAATGGACTTGGAGTGGGCAACCGCGAGGTATACGGGCAATCCTTTCCAGTAAAGCGGCTTTTTCCAACGGTATAGCGAGCAATGGCTAGAGCAAGTTGGCGAATTACTAGCATACGTGGAAAACTCCTTCTAGTTCACACTCTCACCAATATCTGAAGTTAGATATTCCTTCTACTGACTGCCCGGTTATCCCTTCTACAGTCCCTACTACAGCTAGGCATACTACAGCTAGGCACCCATGATCCCCAATTCCCAAGTAGGCTTTCCCAGTCCCCACTCCTCAATTAGAACCCGCCTACAGTCCCCGATCATCCAGCTAGGCTCTCCCACGGTCACCGATCTCCCAGTAACACTCCCCTACCGTCCCCAATCTCCTAGTAAGCCTCCCTTTTAGTCCTCGATCCTCTAACTCACCATACAACCTCACCACCTTCTCCTCCCTCTCCACCAGTATCACAAATCCACTTAACGGCGTCGACGTCGTCACCGTCTTCTCCTTCTTCTGCCCGCCACCCCGGGCACTGCTCAACCTCCGAAGAGATGTCCGCTTCAAGTCCGACAGTGCCTGCGGTATAGACACCGATTTGGACATCTGAAAAAACAAAAATGGGAAAATCCGAGAATATGGAATGAGTAAGAAAGCAATAAAAGGGAAATTAAAAAAAAAAACTAGTGGTAAAAATATTTGTTTTGTGCATACTGGGGGGAGGGGCGTCACGTGCTTCGGACCAAAATATTCACACTTCTTGAGGAAAAGAAGGAACTTGTAAATGTTTCAATAAATGAAAAAAAAATGAATAGAAATGTCAGAAGCACTTGAGGAACCGCTACTTCATGTAAGCGTTGTTGCGTGAATAATTAAGTAAAGGAGTGTGTGCACTTAATTGCTTTTTTTCCTTCTTTCAGGATGTTTCAAGAGGAGCACTCTTCAGTTTTTTTTTAGAAATGAGGAAATTGAAAGGAAATGAGGGGTACAGTATGATTTTTTTGCAGCGAAAAATTGAATAGCCCCCAGAATTTCTCAATGCAAAAAGTACAGCTGTCTAGCTTGGTCATGCTGCTTGCTCGCTCGGAGCCCGTGGCCGGTGGCAATTAAAATTACACCGACACATCGGAGAATTAATCGCTTACAAGACAACACGGCGTGCTCAATCAAAACGATTGGTTTCGCTCTTGCTCAGGGCAAAAAAAAATTTGGCTCCGAGACGAATAGCCCCACTAAATAATATTGGTGGATGGTGGATATAAAGAAGATTGGAACGACAATAAAAACATTGGATTGGGGGGGGTCCATCTTGAATCCGTAGACCAGGATTGATGATAGTGTGGGAGAACTGACAGAAGATGGATGATGATAGGGGGAGCCGGAGCCGGAGAGACTTAGGATGACAAATAATTAGCGGGTGTGTGTAGGAGAGAAACTTTGTGCGTCCGTCTCAAGCAAAAAAAAGAAACAGAAGAGTCGAAAAAGATTTTTGACGCCACGCCACACCATTGGAGTCCGTATGTGTATACAAAGGGAAATGATAGTTTGGGGTGGTTCGGGATGGGGCAAAGATAGAAAGGGAGAAGGACCAGTGTCTAGAAGAAGGAGCACATGAAGAAAGTGAAAAGAGAGGGTGTGTGTGTGTGACATTCGACCCCCATCTGCCCGCAGGGATTTCTGGAGGAGAGACGGAGGAAGCGACACTCTTTGACACAGCTGATTAGTATAAGATGAGTTGATCATCTGTTTTAGATCTCTCTTTGTTTTGTTTTGTCATCATTTTTTATTGGGATCTTTTTTATTGGAAAATTTCTAATATAAATTTGATAGTTTTTTTCCGCAGTTAGTTGAACTGGCAAGAATCTATCAGTCTGACACTTCCGAAAAGCAAAAAAAATCCGAAAAAATATGCGTAAAACTCCCTACTAACCTTCCCCTACTCCTTGAAAAAAAAAAACAAAAACGAAAGGTCCTGGCCGGGATCGAACCGGCGGCCTTCTGCGTGTAAAGCAGACGTGATAACCACTACACCACAGGACCAGGCGATGGAGGTAGGTCAGGAGGGTCAACATAACAGAGAGGGGAAAGGTGGTCGGGAAGGTTGAGTGGGTAGCTGATTGAGTAAAGGGTACTGATAAAGTTATCAACGGAGCGCGATTTCTCATTTGAACAGTCAACCAACACCGTGAGAAAATAAATGAATGAAATGAAACTACCATGAAGTTTTCTGATGGATTTAACAGATAATATATGAGAGACCTTCAAATAACTTTCTCTCCCTCCGCCAAAGCGTGTCTTAGAGAAGTCAGTCGAGAACCAAATCTAGATAGATATGATCTTTTATGTGTGGAACCAACCATTTTATTCCCGTTTTCTTCTTATTCTTAGCCGTTTTCGCCGCGTGAGAAACGTTTCCAATTTCCGGCTTTTAGCCTCCTTTTTTTGGAGATTTTTTTTGAGTCAGTCACTTTTGAGATTGGAAATAAAAATACGAAAATAGGGGAATCCAAAAAAAATAGCGAAAAAAAATTCAAAGGAGGCACACGGAATAACAACCAGACGACTTTTGAATGGGTGGGGTGGGACCAAGTGGTTTGTTTTTCCGGAGCGAAGAACGTCTTCTTCTTCACTTGATTTGCAAATTTACATGAAGAGGGTGGAGAGGAGGAAGAAGAACGAACAATGAAAAATGTGGGTTTGTTTCTTTTGAAATTGCACATAACTGACTTTTGAGGGAGTGGTTTTGAGGGGAAAAAGTGGTGAAAGGTTTGGGGAGCAGACCAAAGTTCGCGGCTCAGGTTGGAGCACTCGAAAGAATCATAATTTGGTTAGAGTCGTCACAAGATCCAGAGTTGAATTAGGCTTGAGTGGTGCTCACTTTGAAAAAAAAGGTGGGCTTAAAATGATTTTTGAGCTTCCAGAAGCTCAGAGAGTGTAGTACTCACTGTCAATCTCGAAAAAGCTCGAAAAAGCTGGGGAACCCTCGAAATGCTCACAAAACCTAGGAAAATCTCGGAAAAACTCGAAAAACTCGAAAAATAAGCCCGAAAAAGAAATACAGTAGTTTTTGCACTCAAATACTCGGAAAAGTCTTTACGCTCCAAGACAGTACGATTAGCACGTTTTCCGTAAGGGTGGCGCAGCTGGTAATGGTCTTGGCGGACTGCTAGGTTGTCTAAGTACCTCTGGTGGGTTTTCAGATCGGCAAATCACCAATAGTGCTATTTACTGCGGTGTCGGTTGGGTTGCGAAGCCCAAAAAGCGCATTGAAGATTCCATTGATCGCATGCAAGGCTAGCCTGAGCCAAACGCATAATTTCAGCAACTTCCCACTTTTTTAGCTAACATTACCCCTCACTAGTAACCCCTAACCCTCTAATTCTTTCCCTAATTCTCCATTCAGCAAAAAAACCGTTCCCAGAACCAATCTCGAACAATGAAACAACAAAAAGGACAACAGTTTCCCATTCCCATCCCACATTGTTTCTCGACCTCCGCCGCCTCCTCCTTTCCCGTGTTCTTCCCCCGTAATTCAATTATAACCATAACTTTTTCTCGAAAACCAAATCGTTTTGCCATTCATTCTATTTCATTTCGTTGAAAACCAAAATGAAATTCAACATTTTCAATTTCCTATTTTTTCTTCTAATTGTACTCTCCACTGTTGTGGATGCTCGTCAACGTCACCGTAAGACGAGAAAGGTACAGTGTGACGTCACGGAGGACTGCTCACCGTACTCGTTTGGATTCCGGAGAGTTTACTGTGTGGATGGGTACTGCAACTCGGTGAGGACCATGAGACGAAGGACCAAGAGGATTTAATTTTTGATTGATTACAAATAAATTGTGGAAAAAGTCATTCTTTAAAAAAAACTCCGAAATCGAGACTCGAAAAAAAAGCGGATCTCATAAATCTAGCTGATCATTCGGGGTGCACACATTCTCATCCCCTCTCCCCTCCCCATCTTGTTTCAAAATGTGATTATCGCCGAGAATAATGGGAAAGAGATACAAAAAGTAGTGGGTCTCTTGTGGATAAGAGAGTCTTGAGAGCACTGGCTAATTCGATTTTCTTGTTCTTCTTCGTTTCATTTTTTGGTGATGAGGAGAGAAGAATTACTGTGTGTGGGTTGAAGAGGACTCGTCTGGAGTACCAGTGATCACTGAATTAAGGGGTAAGGACATTTTGTACATTTATTTATAAATAATATTATCGGTCTGCTCTCAAATCACTAGGCTTGTCACTTGTTGACCAACTTGGTTCCGGGGGTCCCATAGACCTGAAAAAACGATTTTCAAGGTTCAAGCCTATGATGCTCCAGGGCCAACCTCTGATAACCTTGCGATATTCTGTGACAATCAACATGAACGCGATACTATCCACCGGTGGATACAACCCTAGTAAGGCAATCACCCCTCCTGACTGCATACTCCATTGCAGATCCAGTAACGGTCCGATCAATAATGGACAAGCTGGGAACACAAACAAAAATGTTGGGATCAAAGTTTGCACCACGAGCGCTTTGAAGAATTGCCTTTGGAGTTTTTGGTTCAGCATGGAAAAGTGTGAGAGCTCCTCATTCATAGTGAAGTGCATTGAGAATCCACAGTAGATGATGATGAGGTACTGGAGACCGATAAGGGCACAGCCAGTCAGGATGAAGAGAAGGTCGTTCCATCGGAGGGAGTTGTCGGAGGCCTGGAAGTGATTTTAGGAGAATTGATGGGGATTCGGGGGCTTACGTAAGGTACCAAGTTGAAATGGGCGACTTCATTGGGGTCTAGGCGGTAGATTTCGAGGAATTCTTTCCTGAAACTAGTCCTTATTGGGAAACGATTTTCAGGAATGGCGGGCGTGGAAGCCTCAGCATTGGAAGGATTATAGTTAGGTGAGGAGAAATCAAATTCCTGGACTCCTTGGGCTCAAAGAACCTCAAAGCCCTAACACCAACCCAAGTAACTGACCCGAGAATTCTAGGGTAGTGGTCTCGAGATACCCGGGTCAGCTCCACGGGTGCTCGGGTATGGTCGGGACGAGTACCTCGGGATACCTCGGGTACCCGTACTTGTTTTACTCGTCCCGGCCCACCCGGGATACCAAAAGCAGCTAGCCCACTGTCTAACACGCTCAACTCACCTGACATATCCATCTGAGTACTCATCTGGCCTCCCGAAAAAAAACAGTGACAAACTATACAACCCTCCGGTAACCATTGGGTACAGCATCCACCCAACAGTCCCAACCCCTTCGAATTTCTTCGTCAAGCTCACATTCACCAGTGTCAACAACCGAAAAACGAACTGTACTGCCAGAAACGATAGGATAACTGCATAGAAACCAGCATAAATCGATAGTGACACTTGCAGAAAAGTTTGATAATCACCCAAGAAATCATTGATACTAAACACGATCAAGGCTCTATTATAGTTATGAGCGAAGGGTTGAGCGATGATTTTCCAAAATGAGAATAGTCCACCACAAAGGGCGAAGATTATAACCATCAATTTATAAGTCCCAACTATAGCTTTAATTTTGAGAACCGTCAACAAAATCAAGGCGGTGTTGGAGATATAAGTGACGAAAAAACCGAAATAGCTGAAGTACTGACAGAGCTCGAATAGAGTGGGCATCTCTAATGGTAACAGACTGTGTTTTCAGCTAGGTTTACCTCTTTCTCTTGGGGCGGAGCTTCCCAAGAATATGTGTTCTGATTATAGCTATCAACAAAACAAATAATATGGACCCCCTAGGGGTTAGGGGCATCGCAGACATCATGCCTGGTACAAATTGTTCGATAAAATATGATCTGGATCTTTGAAAAATTTTGAATGATGCGGCTTGTTTTTCTACGCCACTAATGGCTCGTACTAATTATAATGGTCTACCCGGAAATCATTTCACTAATGTTCTGACTCCCTTAGGTACCTTCAAATTAAAAATATTTATTATGACTGAAAAAAATAACACACAACACAAAAAACCCGTCTCAAACAAAGACTATTCAAAAAAACACATCTTTGGACGAAATGGACACAGTGGAAATAGAAAAGCTGAGATCATTTTGTACTTAAAACAGAAAAAAACTTTGAACATTGGGTAGAAAAAAGTAGAAAGACGGGAAAGTAATCAGATGCTAAACCGGATTTGAAGAGGGTCAAAAAATTATTCTCTAGAGAAAAAAAAAATCAAAACGTGCTAATATTTCTACAAACTCCGCATCCCATCGCGAATTCTTCACCAGTTGGGGGATGCTTGATTTTTAGTGGACACGCCTGTTCTTCCATTGGAGTGCACCTGGGGCCAACGGGACAAACTGGGAGTTGGTGCTTGGGGATAGACATGAGGCGTTGGAAGTCGTCGTGGCATGGAGCACAGAAATGAGTGGTACCGAAGCTGGAAGAAGGATTGGTTAGGGTGAGTACAGTAGCCTATGACGGTTAGATACGCGCAAATTACAACAACCTTTTTTCAAGTACGCGGGCTACCGTAAGTTACCTACCACGAGAACGCTGTCCACATCTATTGCCTATTACAGGTCCCCAGACACTGCAGCGACTTATCACAGGTACGCTGACAAGGTACCTACCCCAGCTACCCAGGCTACAGCCAGTTACCTACTACAGGTACGCGAACCCGTAGTACATAACTGCGAGCCTGGGATCCCGGGTAGTCGTCTAGACAGAGTTACTCACTTTATCGCACCTTTAGATAACCTCATCCCCCTCACTTACCAAAAGAACACCGCTATCGAGCAACAGAACCGACACTTGTACTCTAGGTACTCCACCCCGTGCCTGGGACACACTTGAACACCACTGGTATCTGAGCAGCCTCCGCATAGCAGCTCTTCGGGGTTGAACTGGGAATTGTCAAGGGCCTGCAACTTTTTTTCCATATAGCCGATAACTCAAGTTAACTTACCGCTTGACACCGGCTCTCTCCTCCAAAATAGGCTTTCTTACACTTGTGACACAGTACGTACATGTAACGATCCAGGGCGTACTCCTCTGGTTGGTTGTAAAACTCGGATCTTGGATCA